TTCGCCCATAAATTATATTCTCGCCGAAAATGTTCTTTCTGAGCTTAATAACTACTTGAAAATAGTTTTTAGAAAGAACTAAATGAAAAATACCACTTTATTTTGCTAATTAATAATAGTACTCATGAAGGATAATGTGCCTAATGAAACCAAAATTAAATTAACAAAGGAAAAATTAGCAAATATAAATTATATTGATTTATTTCCATTAAATATACTGAGTAAGGTCATGAATAAGGTCATACTGATAAGTCCCATACCAGAACACAGTAGCTATTCAGTGCTTTATGATTTTCCATAGTTCGTCAGTAAATGTCTATCTGTGACGAAAACTGTCTTCGTAATCGATATTTAGAAAAATGGTGCAATAAATAACTAGTTATCTTTTAAAAGCTTTATTCATTGGACAAATAAGAGTTAATATATAGTGATTTGTCGTTCGTGACTGATCATTTGACTTGTTATAAAAAGAAAAATACTATATTTATTGCATCATTGAGTAATGTAACTGTTAAGAAAGTGATTTTTAGTCAATTAATTACAAATTCGGACGGATGACATTAATGATTACAAGTTAACGGACATCATAAGACATTGACTAGTCAACAAAGTACGGCTCGTTTCGCATATATATATATATATATATATATATATATATATATATATATATATATATATATATATATATATATATATATATATATGATTAGAACTGATTTTCAACATATATAGGTATTACAAACGGATTATTTAGGTCATTCACAAATCTATGGAATCGATGGAGGGCCTAATTATTAAACTTCATTATTATTCGTGATATCATACTTGAAAATAATGTATTTTTTTTCAGTTTCACATTTTCTACAAAATTTATTGGCCAGTTAATTTGACCGTAAAAAATATATCACACACATATATTAATGTCTGTTAACTAACAGTATTATTTAGTGAACCTGAATGTCATTTGAAATATGATTCTGTTCAGTACTATATGTTATGGACAATCAACGATAAAAAGTGGAATAAAAATTTGTTGTATTATGTATGACCTAGGTGTATGTGGGTGTAAGCAATGTAAAGATATCCAAGCTATGATTTAGATACAGTAAAACGTTTTACTACACTACACAATGAAACACCATAGATGTAGATAGTTACTCAGAGAATATTTTAAAAAGAAAAATGAAATAATATTTGATTATCAGAATGGGTTTTGTGGAGATTTTTAGAAATTTCACAGGTTGAAATCATGAGTCAATTGAAGCTAGACCACCGTGGTGGTCATAAAGCAGCATTATTATTTCCAACTACATATTTGTAGACAATAAATTACAGTGATTTGAATTTGATTTCCTCAGGATGGAGGTTCATACTTAAAATAGATTATTTCTTTTAACTCGTCCTTGATTAACGCTTTTTTTTTGGGGGGGGGTGAAATTTAGCATAATAATATTTTAAAGAATTTCCTTTATTATTTCAGCAGTTACATGAAAGAATGCTAACAAAAATTATCATTTCACTGTCATTTTTACAGTCTAAACAACACTATAGTTAACTTTTTAGGTTGTTTTATAAAGTAGATAAAAATCAAGTCAACCTATCAAAACGGGGTTAAATCCACCTTTTAACTTTTATTGATATATATGGTTACAGCTTGGTTTAGTTTTTATATATAATAAAGAAGAAATATGTTATTGATTTTCATGCCATAATAATAATAATTTATATACTTCATACCCAATAGTAGCCTGTGTTATCAAAGTGATTAGGATATAACATATTTCTATTGGAGATTCTTAAAAAATTGATTTATCAAAACAAATGAAATGAATAAGTATTACAAAAATCAGTTTTATCGTAGGCTTTAGAGGTAACTATAAATACAATTTTTCCCATACTTAAATGTACAAATTTTGAAAATGACTGAAGTGGGATGATATTAAAGTACAAGTTAAGTAAAATATTACCAGAGGGTTAAAAAATTATGATAACAGAAGTACTGAAAATAATGAACAGTATATTAAGTCAATAAGAATGATAGAAAGTCTAGATGATTGAGATGAACTGTAGGAATCCACTTATTTTTATTTCCAGTTTTCGCTTCTTTCATGAAAGTAATTAATCTTCGTATGTACGGGTATATTAATGTTGCTTCATTAGGCTTACATAAATTATTCAAAATACTTATCTGTTTTACTACTGACATATATTAATGAACGTTATTATAAGAGAAGCGGAATTTTTAAAAAAGACGGAAATTCTGTACAAAATTAAAAACTTAAACGTTTAATTTTATCTGTGTATGGTTGTAGCTATTTTCAGAAGACCAAATGCAGTTTGTGTTTTTTACAACGTAAACTCAATGAAATTCGACTTTTAAGTAATGTATGGATGTTAGCACTACATTTCGCTTAACTAAGGCAACTGTACTTCTTTTGCAGTTGATAGGGTATCAGTTTCAAATATATCTACCTCGATTTGATTGCGATGAATTACCAACATCATTCTCCCCAACAATTTGCATCTAAATCATATCATATTTCGAAGCACATTATCACTTCCCAAATACACAGGTGATTTAATTATATTAAAATCACTAAAATATTTTCCTCCATAAAATCCATACTCCAGTGATATTGAAAGTAAATCACACTCATTCAACCACGGTGCACCTACTGTTATAGAAAGAAACTGTTCAGATATGTTGATATATGTGATTGAGTTTCATCTCAAAATATATTGAAATTAATGTTGCGTTTCGATAAAAATCACGCAGTTGTTATTGAGTGGAATCTTGTTGATGAAAATCACTGTTAGTTCTATCGAAGCGTCCAACTACATGATTGATATACGCGTGAAATCATTGTTCAAGAGCACAATGATTTGTCTAAAGAACGGTTATTTGTGGAGCTTAAATATAAATTGGTCACAATCTCAACTTGTGGGGTATCTGGAGTAATTAAGGCGTCTGTATATCTGGAAATAGAAAGGCTTCATTTAATATTAACATGTAGCGTAATTACAACATACCATAGCGTAAATGATGACTGATAATTTCATCGAATGTTAACAACAGTTTATCAACAGCCAAAATGTGAACTAAGAAGCACACAAATCTGAGAACTGTAGCGTATAAACAAAGATCAAAGGAATTTAAAGAAATGAGAATAACTTTCATAGGAGTTTAGAGGAAGGAATTGTGATAGTAAATACAAGTAATGTTATAGGTGTTTGTAAAAGCTTTAGGACATTACATGACAAATAAACGTGCGTTACACTATACGCCTACAAATTGTTAGCAATAGAACTGCTTACTGAATCAAGTTAACATTTATAAGTAATCGCAACATTTACAAACCTCATCAGTTTATCCTACCAACATTTCAAGTCTCATGATTAGCAGAAAGTTAATTCACTTATTGATTATGCATATATATAGAGCTTCATTTGACATTAGTAACTCTACATAAAAAGACCCGTTAAACTTGAATGAGAGTCATGTTTTATAGAAAACTAAATGATATGGAGAATTGAATTCTTGTTAATTGACTATGCGATGGTTTGGCTACACTGATAAATAAAAGATGTATTTTATTGTGGTCACATGATTATACATGAATTAGGAGTCTTAAACTGGGACGAAATAACTGTCCATTGTTTCCTGGTCTTTAGTGGTATTCCAGGATTACTTTAAAATAGTAAGAGAGCTTCTTAACAAACATTTCCGTTTATTACCTTGTTTAAAAATTAACTTCAAAAAGATTTCGGTCGGTAAATTCCAATGAGCACGAAAGGCAGGACCACATGATGACGGTTACATCCCAGCAGACGAATAATGGAATTAATCAAATCCTACAGGTGACCAGACATGGCCAAAATAAATATATGGAGGCAATTTTGAGAGGAATAAGCATTAATGAAATATCTAGTATTCAGAAAACTACAAGTTCCATCAAATATGACTGAGGTCATAGTGATGAGTAATAGTAATCATAAAAGCTAGGTCCAAGATTTTCTGACTAAAGCCTGGAATCACCAAGCAATGAATTTCCAGATACGTAATTTTTTATTCACTCACTGCCTACTTAATAATTAATTAAGTAGGAAAGAACATAACGACTTTATTGGCTGGGATTTTGTTAGATCAATGAGATTAATTCTCACATATGCACTCTTGTATATCTTTTTTAGACTATCAAATAAAATAAGAGGTTTTTCTAAGAATCCACCATCTGTTAATATTAGGTGGATCAAATTTATGTTTTCATCATAGTACTGTGCCTGCATTTATTCGGTTATTTTAGAGCTATTTTACCGTGATTTTCTTATTGACGTGAGTTTTGATTAGCAATTGTTGAGTTTTCACTATCAAATGTGAAGATTTCACGAAGCGTTCATCCTATGCAGTAAAGTATTGGAAAAGACTTCATAGTACACAGGAACTCTGCTTAAACCAACATAACTATAATATCAACGCAATGAATTCTCTAACTGTCCCATGGTGTAAGATATTTTATCAAACTTCGTCAAACGAACTGGCACCGTATCATGCATCTAAATTGTTCAACCTAGTCACTTCATTCTATCCCAACTTACTAACTCTCCCCTACAGGAATAATATTATAAATATCTAGCGGATAGACTAGTTTCAGGAAGTCATCAAAATGCATAGCAAGGAAAGCTTTAGTTTAGAATCCTGAAGGTCTAAGTAAAAGAGGGAGACCAAAAAAACATTACCGTGGGAATTAGCGCCAGATATCAAAAGAACGAATAGAAATTGGCAATAACTGAGAAGGAAAAGTGAGGGCAGAGTCGATTGCAAATGTCTGTCCAGGGACCTATGTTTTACAACGGGCAACAGGCGTAAGAAAATAATCCATTTAATGGACGGTAAAAATTGTAACTTAGCTGTGAAGTTATGTCCACGTCGCCTAATATTTATATTTGAAAAACGAGAATCCATTATACTTCCCAAGATAAAAAGTAAGAACAGTAAGACTGGTACAAGTGAAAATTTATTAACTCTGAAAAGCGATGACCTTAGTCAAAAATAGTCATTTATACATTGATTGCACATTCATTTTTATTATTAATTAGGATGAAATCACATACATGAAAAACACCCAGACTTATGACAAATCACATGCTGCATATCATGCTGAGCACAGTTAATATTAGTTTAATACAAAAACATTGTATCTTGAGTAACCAACACATTGAAATACAGCGATTTATGGTGAGTAAAATAGCACACCGTAAGTAAAAAAATATTACAGTTGGTAACCATCGCATTGAATTTAAAACGGTAGTGATGTTGAAAAAGTGTCATAATGGGTTCAAAACGTAATTTGGGCTTCCCATACCGTCATATTAAAAGCGTATAAAAGCATCACTGATTCATATTAATATCACAAGACAACAGAAACTACAAATTGTTTCAACAAGTTAAAACTGTAATGAAGAAAACTTTTACTGACTAGTGGAACGGTATTGTAGATTTAACCAGTAAAATCATCCAGACCATGTTGTAGAAAGGATCGAAATTTCACAAAACAAAGACCTTTAATGTCAATTTTTAATTGATATGACCATTTCCAATCATTCGTCATTATTCATTTATAACTGAGGTCCTTTAGGATCTTTTCTCTGACTGGGATCCTTTATGTGGGCAGAAGCTACACGAATTCATCGTGACATTAATAAGTTAGCTATCCTATATGTCATAAGAGGAAATGCCTTAAAGAACATTGTCTGGCATGGCTAAAAAGAGGAGGAAGCCGCTCAATAATCGAGCACCTTGTGAACACAGGTCACTCAAACAAGACATACTCTGCGTTTAAAGTCATTTACACGGTAAGTAGAAGTCTCCCCAAAACAATTAGACTGCATCTTCTTTGCATTAGCCATACATTGTGTGCAAAAGCGACTGGTGCAACCTCTTCTTCTACTATGGTCCTGATGTCTTAAAATACTTTATTTTTCTCTTTCTTCATACTCTTCTTCCTTTACAGTCATCTGCTTCACCCTCCATTTTCCCTTAAATTTTGCACCCCCAACTGGTTCATTTTGTTTCCACGATCATCCTCATTATATTTAATCTAAATTTCAATATTTATCTTATCATACTGAGCTATCCTTTCCCAATGATAATTTCCCTATCTATCCTTTGATGAATACTTAAGCCATTAACGATCATTAAACTTTCCTTGTTTTTAAAAGAATTTTTTAATAACTTTGTTTATCTAACCTCACTGTCAACATGCCTAACAGAAGTTTATTATCAGTATTATTATCATCCTGTTAAAATAATTATATGTATTTGAGATTGTACAGCTTTGAAAATGAGTTCGCTGAAAAGAGAACTCTTCACTGAACTAATCTTTCTTAATTAATGTCTTAATAGGTGTATTCCGTTTATTAAAAAGATTGTCTTTACCAAAGGTATCTTCAAAAAATGTTTACCATCATATGTGAATAGATTTAATTAATTAATTTTATATAATGGGGACACTGACAAGTGATATTATAATTATCAGTGAATTAATCAATCCTTCTTACGTAGTGCATATAGGTTTTGGACACAAATTAAGTTTGAAATGACGATGCCTAGAAAAGCTTTAATTGTACGACAGAATAAAATTAAAAAATATGAAAAAAAAACGATCAAACACTTTGTATCGCCTGCAACTGAATATACACCAATATACAATAATAAATTCATGAATCCCATATGGGAAATATGTAGTGTTTTGTAAAGAAAACAGTATTTCTCTATATTTCCAATGTTCATATTGGGAAAATATTTGAAAATAAAAACAATGAACATGGTATTTTCAGCTTATTTCATAACATAATATACAAACGTAAACTAGCTCAAATTTTTATATCATGAGACAAGTAAGCAAAAGAAACGCAAAATATACTGTACAGTAAGATGTAGAATAATTAAAGGAAGTTGATAATTAAAATAAGAACATTTGACAGTAAATACTAATCACAATGACATATTACGACCTTCAATACTCATTGGAACTGCACGAGCAGCTTTGGCATGACTTTTACGAGCACTATTACTTAAATTTCGAATATGACTTTCGATTCGTGATGTAGCTCCAAAACCGGATGTTCGTGTTTTTCGATGCTTTCGAGAAAGTGACTGAGATTGTTCTGTCTGATCATCATTTCCCTCTTCATCATTATCATCCCCAGTAGCATTCTCGCGAACACGCCATTTTGGTCGGATAATATAATCTTTATTTGACGGTTGAGGAACTCGAGCCCTATTAACCCATCCAGGATCGCCAGGTCTCAAAAGTCTGTAATCATAAAGCAATAAATCAGAAATATTCATCGAAAATATGGTTTGTTTTAAATATATTTAAAAAAAACAAGATAATTGGCAGTAAAAAGGTTAGGCGATTCCGAAATAAGCACAAGGCTACTCATAACGCTTCGACAGATAATATTTTAAATTATAAAGTGTAGAACAATTAAATATAGTAATTACCATTAACTAAACACCGAGGACAGTTATTAGTTGGTCAGAAATTTTCCCAAATACGCCCTCTTTAAAACTAATTTAGAATTTTAAAGTATCATACATAAGCAGAAATAAATGTAAACTACAGAAGAAACAACGAATAATTTTCGTTATCAAAATGAGCAGTTATATAGCATAAAATTATTATCTGTATTATTCTTTACCGTACGACTAGGATTGGAAATGTGTCATTAGTAATTTATTCTGATCTTTAGTATCGTTGTATTATTTTGTTGTAGCCAGGTCTAGAGCTTTTTTAGCCATTTTAATGTACATTTTATGTAGGGTTATTATTGATTCATCAAAAATAGATCTTTCTTTATCAGTATAGGGTTGTGGAGATTGTTGAGTTCTAATCGAGATAACCTTAGTGTAAAGTCACTTTTGTTTATAAATTGATATATACAACAAAAAAGGAATTGGGTTTCATCTCATAGGTCATTTGGATAACTTGTTGTTCAAGGATTCAGAAAACCTGATGACTGATCTGAAAATTCGCTCTTTATGGTCAGTATGTAGAATCAAAATCGACTCGTTCGTGATTGTACTTAGTAAATTTATTTGCACAAGGACCTTGTATGCTTGGTTTATAATATACGCATATAAGACCTCTTTACTACAGTCACATTTTTAGTGTCAATTTTGAGGATTTGTGGAGATTATAGTATTTTCAAAGTTGAATTCACGAGTCAATCGAAGCTAGACCATCATTGAAAACCTAGAAGCTTCGGACGGCCGTTTCGTTCTAGTATGGGAATTCTCAGCAGTGTGCATCCACGATTCCACGCGCGGGACTCGAACCAAGGACCTTCGGTCTCAGTAACTAGTGGATTCAATCCATGTCAGGTGTGAGACAGTTATCCACCTCAGACAATGGATGAAGGGTTGCGCAAGATCATGAATCGATCGAAGTTAGACATTAACATCGTTGGATCTCGGTTCAGTGGTCTAGAAGTTATGCGTTCGCGCGAGAGACCGAAGGTCCTTGGTTCGAGTCCCGCGCGTGGAATCGTGGATGCACACTGCTGAGAATTCCCATACTAGAACGAAACGGCCGTCCGAAGCTTCTAGGTTTTCAATGATGGTCTAGCTTCGATTGACTCGTGAATTCAACTTTGAAAATACTATAATCTCCACAAATCCTCAAAATTGACACTAAAAATGTGACTGTAGTAAAGAGGTCTTATATGCGTATATTATAAACCAAGCATACAAGGTCCTTGTGCAAATAAATTTACTAAGTACAATCACGAACGAGTCGATTTTGATTCTACATACTGACCATAAAGAGCGAATTTTCAGATCAGTCATCAGGTTTTCTGAATCCTTGAACAACAAGTTATTCAAATGACCTATGAGATGAAACCCAATTCCTTTTTTGTTGTATATATCAATTTATAAACAAAAGTGACTTGACATTAAGGTTATCAATTAATTTTCGCACTTTCTATTCATATGTAATATGTTTCAAATTATTGATTAGTTGTAGTCAGGGGATATTTATCCTCCCATTTCTATTTGGGAATTCTCTATTAGCACTATTCTATATTGTTTTTCTTCTTGATAAACGCAAATTACCCACCATTCTAATTCCAACACAACGTAAGCCAGTTATGGCGATATCACTTATTGAAAAAATACAGATTCGTACACTCAACTTTGAGTTATATTTTGTGTGAAGGATAGTGATACTACTCAGATGCCCAAGTTGAAGTAGGTGAAACGGAGACATCAACTGCCCTTTAACCATTAAAACAACTGACCTACAGAATCAGATATGGTGAAAGCAAACGAACTAGACTGTGACTAGTAAATATAGTCATACTTTTAGATGACGGCAAATAACTAAAGAACACTATGATACAATCAAAAAGCCACTGAAAGTATGTGAGGCATAAATAAAAAGTTTTGATTTTAGACTTGGACTGTAAACTGAAAGTGATCAGTTTTCACCAGACAATTCTTCATGTTTGGTTACGTTCTCTAAATAATGAACGACGAAGATATTAGTGGATTGATTCTTATTTCTGATGAAGTGCATTTGCCTCACCAATTTTACATGATGCCTTAATTCCGTCTTTATATTGTACTAAATTACTTGCTATTACTGAGTAGTATTTACATCATTCAGTCATTTTTTCACTTGACACATCAATGCATTTCTTTTGATTTATTCGTTTCATATTATTTCGACAAATACTTTGAGCATTATTGGTCTTATTTACCCTGTTTAGTATTTGAAAGTAATGCGATTTCGTTTCTGAACAGAACTGTAATGAGTTCATGGTAAGTTGGGTGTTGTGTTCCTACTTAAAAGAAATTTTGGAGCTTTTTAGCATTAATTTTTCTGAATGGTGCAAAGATTATAGACGATTATCCCACAAGACTTCTAAGATAGCAACACTGATGAATGAAAGAATTTAATGAATATACAAGATTACTTAGTTAATAAATAATTACGAGTCAAAATGATGTCGATTAATGCTAGAGAAAAAGATTGGTTTCCCAAGGTTAATGGTGGATACGGAGGATTGCTCCACTACCTTATGGATTAGACCTTTAGGTCAAAGGCTCGGGGTATGGACCCCTAAAAAACTACCTGCTTCGGTTTGGGCACCCGGGCAGTATCCCAGTCCTCACATAAATCGAATGATTTATTTAATGCATATCTTTTTGATGCTTCCTTGTACAAATGTTTATGTGTTTAAATAAATAAATAATAATAAGTACAAGCTTAATGAATACTGCTGATTACCAACAATATAAGCAATTTTTGCTACTGCGTACAAGGAGAAATAGACAAAGTCAAAATCAGAAAAACTAGAAGTGATCTTTACAGTTTTAGAACGACTCATTTGAAATATAATAGAGTAAAGGTAAAATGTAATGGTAGAGCGATGATAATACCAACAATACCAATGAGGAATTCCTCTTACCCTTTAGCTTCACCATCCAATTCACGGTTAATGTCACGATGGTTGTAGGCCTCGTTGCTGTAATTAAATAAGTCAAGTGAAGTTTAATATTCTACAATATTTAACGTTTTAAACAAAGACAATATATGAAATTAAAATTCATTTTCATTGAAAACTTGGTCTACCGCATTAATCATTCTTCCATTATAACAAACGATAGAACAAGCGATCATTGCAATCATAGTTCTAAGCTTCTGAGGGATATCTTCTTAAAAATCAATGCTGATATATTAGACCTAAATTCTACATAATTCATATTTCAAAAACTAATAAATTGATCGAATTAGTTTTATATCCTGATAAAAAATACAACTATTATTTAAACATTCTATAATTAAGTGAAATTTGTTCACAGTCACTTGTGATTCTGGTAGGGATTTATTTATATCATACACATTCGATAGTTAGTCACAGTATAAAAAACGTTTTATTTGGATAAATCGGAATCATGGTATCTTATAAAAGAAATTCCAGATATAATAATAAAATAGTTAACCATGTATGACGATGTTGGTAGAGTAAGCGTTCACAAAAGCCAGAAGACAAATATATTCAGTACGAATAATTATATGGAATTTGATACAGACAACTGATGTATTCGTAGTATTGATAGAAAATTTCCCATACATTACTAATCTCGACCATTGAACTCTGATATTAAATTGATTATTCTGTTAGTCTGAGGTTCTCTATACAAATGATATGAAAAGCTATACATTAGCTCGTTACAATACATTTGTGTTAATATAAGTTCATTCATAATTAATCTAACAGTAGACAAACATATGCAGGTTTTACTTTGCTCATGACCGACTGACTAACTAGATAAAAAAAATAAAAAATACACGGTCGATTCATAATACCCTTGTGCATAAATCAGGTACAGAAACAAACAAGACAATCGTACTTTTGTACGTTGAAAGACACGTAATATAAGTATTTGAATCTGCATGACATATGAAATAGTGAATATTTTAATCATTAGTGTCAATTTATTAGACACACTATAAATGGCAATACTGTTTTGACTATTTATTTGAAGTTTTTAGTTATTGAATAAAACAGAACCTGATAAATGGTTTTTATAAAATTATATTACAGAAAGACACCACTTAATAGGTACATTATTTATAGTCAGAAGATAGCTAAACGAGACAGGTGAATGTTTCTGAATACCAACAAAAATAAATATTACTAACTATCAAATAAATTCTAAATTTAACAATTGGATTTCACTCATAAATCTGAAAATAAACAGTCATCTCATTTGCTAATAACAGGTCGACATGTATATATGGTAGTCAGTGTTTCTGTACTATATAATTATAAATTAATCCAAAGAGTATTGACAGCAAGATATAGTGAACACAAGACTTAAATTCCACATTACGCGCTGTTCTGTTACTTACTTACCAAGTAGAAGTTTACACATTCGGTTCGCAACAACACTTTGTTCTTATATGAGGCTTGCTAATATCATCCGGTTAATTAGACAAAAGTTAATGAAGCTGGATTCTAACCTATAACCTATTGGTTGAAAGCTAAGTTTTAAACTATGAACTCTTCTACGCAACTTATATACAAAAATTTGTATCAAATAGTCAATACTAGAGACTGCTATTAAATAAAGGATCAATGAACATGCTCTAAAGTGAAAAAAATATTTGTAACACAAAATATGAATGTTAACAGCGTCACTTTATGGTTTATTAGATACTTTTTTAGTAGGCATACTAAACAATATGACCATGGAAATAGAACTTACTCGATGTTTCTCCGCTTAGGTAAATGTTCATAATCTAGCTGTTTACGTTCCTCCTTAGTGAGAGTTCGATAGTCACTAGTCAAGTTGAATATGGGTCGGAGCCATTCATCTACAATGAAACACCAGATCATACGCATAGAAATATGAAACAAAGATCAATAATAAGGGAAGTATCGTGATTAGTCTACAAAAACTATACGACATAAAGTACAAACCAGTGCTACATTTACCCTCTTTTTGTGATGTTTCGCTACTAAGTAGTAACTGACAATGATGTCCATGTCACTGACTACACTTAGTGTAAAGGCTGTTTTCCAATGAAAAGTATTCTTCATGTAAGGTTTTTACAGTAGGCAGAAGTGAATAATCATCATCAATCTTGTGAACTTTACTTTCATTTGTTAACATACCGGTGTCTCACAGTTGCACCATTTTTGTTGAATATCAAACATATAAGTAATGAGAGTAATAATAATATCTAAACAGATATTCTCACATTCATTTTGTCGGCTACTGATTCTTTAAAAAAAAATTTATTTGCTTAGGATTTGAGGCTGTTCCAAGAGTATAAATTATCAATCCACCCTTCTTTGTCACAGTAACATTTCAAGTCGGGCTTAAAAGTTGTAACCATCTGTGATTTGACAACTGAATAAAGTTGGCTTTTTACACCATACGGTCAACACCAAATTATTTATACATGAAGGCCGGATGCTATTCAGGGCGTATATAAACAATTCCCACCTAATTTTAACTTCTAATGTGAGTATTAAGTTGTGCTAGTCCTATAATATATTCTCGTTGCTAACTTCGTATTGCTTTAGTCTTAGCAAATCAGTATATTGCCGGGAAAATGTAATGCGACCAAACAATCAATTTTATACTGGTGTTTGAAATTAGGGTTTTTGTGAAGATCAGTGATACTACCCTGTTGTTCCAAAAAGGTAAAAACATGCAGTCTGATTGTTGGAAATCGGACTAATAAGTAAATGGTTTCATTCTATTTATCAGGTCATGAATATGTTGCACTAGTTTTGTGGACCTTTAGCCTGGTTAAAAAACGTTGAGCTCTTATTTAACGGGTATTTCATTAGCTGTGGTTGAGTGGTTTGAGCGCACATTGCCAAAACACGGGCAAAAGGATACTACATGTAAAAAAACCCATTCACATTTGTACAATGAGTAGAACATAATGTTGCTGTAACTCAATGCAACTGCAGATAATTAACTGGATTTTAAGATAGTCATGAACTTTTAGGAAAACTACTCACTAATAAGTCTTCCAGCTCTATCCTTGTTTTCTCGAGTTTCTCTCGGGTGTTTGTACAAATACATCAAAGCTTTCCCGATACCGGATTCTTGAAGAACTTCAGATGACAGTGACTGGAACTCACTGAGGCTAGTCAACATAGAGTCACGAATAACGAGATTCGGGAGTGTATGGCCAGGTAAAGGGGACAGCCACTCAGTTATAGCGGAAAGCATCCCATTTTCTATTAAGGCGGATTTCAGGTCAGCTCGCCTAAGAATAGCTAGTACTTCTTTGAGCATGTTCAGTTTCTTGGTCGCTGGTCGACTAGCTGTAAGTAACTGTCTGTCTTCATCGGCAGCACTTTTCATTCGAGAAATGGTTTCAACAATCAAATCATCACTATCATTAAGGAATTCAATATCCCTATTACGTCTACGTCTTCGTCGTGATTCTTCTTTCTTTTTTTCCATTATCCGGTCGAAGTCGGAAACGAACTCATCATCATGTTCAGACTCTTCATCCTCTTCGTTTTCTCCAGCTGTCGTAAGGGGACCTTTTTTTGTCACTAACTCACTAGATGTTTGAACTTCAACCTCCTCTTCAATACCTTTGTCCAGTTCATTTTCGGCGAAGCCTTCAAATTCTTCTTCTGCATCACTTTCGCCAAATATATCTGCTATGATACCATCCACTTGAGATTCTGGTTGTTCGTCTCTCTCAAAACCTTCGAAGTCTTCATTGAATTTACCTTGATCTTGATCATCATCATGATCTTCAAAAATGTCAGGGAAATTATTATACTGGAGTGATTCGATAGGAGAATTATGCTTGGTTGTGGGATATTTCTCTACAGAATTCACTTGAGGAGTTTCATCGATTTCCTGTTGATGAAAATCTTCCTGATCTTTTTCGCTTACAGACTCTGAGTCATCGTTGCTCTCGTGTTCGACTTCGTCTTCCTGATGCACTTCACTAGAAATATTTGGATCCGTTTTCGTAGTCACATTTACATCTGATGCATGTTCACTTCCGGAATAACTCAGGGCAGGACTGGATTCGGGAGTTAAAGCTTGACTTGGAGCATAACCTGGGGTAGTGACATCTACAACAGGTTCAACGTGATATTCCTTATCGTAATCCAGATTCTCCGAAAAATGATTTTGTTCAGATTTAACGATCGAATGCTCACTCGAAGAATCAACTGGAGAACGTGGAGGATTATGAGAATAAGATAAGTGATCTTCCAGATCATCACTTAGATCGTCAGAGCCCGAATTCTAAGAATGATCATTTGGCATATTTATAACTTACTTCATCAGCTTCAGAAGGAACATATCTAGGTCTATATGATACATTTTGATTATCCACAATCCGGCTGCGAACAGGATCATAACCATCATGTTCATCACTAGACTCATCTTCAAAACTTGAATCCCTAGAACAAATAAATTAATAAATAAAATCAGATAAAATAAACTGAAGGGTAATTATAGAGAAATTCAAATAGAATAGTGAAGAACTGAACGAACCGGCTTCCAGATGAAGAGAAATTGGGAAAAAACGCTAGGGACGTCATGCAGTTGCAACCAATGTCCATCTATACTTTTCGGTGGAATGGTAGCTAGCCTAGAAGCTAGCTCGGTTCGATATTTACTAGCAACAGAAGTTAAAACCAACTTGCTGACATCAATCCTTTGGTGGCGGTCACTTCGTTGGCCACTGAAAAGTAAGGTAAGATTGGCGCAGACGAGGGCATGATTAGAGTGCAGATAGGTACTCCAAAAGGAGCGTCAGTCTTGTACACAACCACGCCAGCGGTAGCTGATCGCGATGTGATCAATCTGAGTCCAGGCTTGAGATGCAGAGGGAGGACGCCAGGTTGCACATCGGCGATGACTGTGCCGAAAGTTAGTGCCAGCCAGAAACAGGTTGCGGTCTGTGCACAGTTGCAGTAGACAGTCCCCGTTATCTGTCCTGCGACCAACAAGTCCCCACCGGCCACCTAAACGACTCTTCTGAGCCTAGACGCTCTACCTGAGTATTTAAGTCTCTGGCTAGTACTACAGTATCTGTCGAACGCACTTTCTGGAGAAGAACAATTAACAGGTGGTAGAATTCATCTTTGATTGCATCCGGGCTGCAATCTGTTTGGGCATAGGTGGAGATAACAAAGAGACATCGTTTCTCACGCCGATTTCTCCGTACTTTGATGAAACTTTCTAATCTAACAGCACGTAACCGACTGTTAATGGAGACCCAATCGATTAGTGATGCCTCAGCTCTAGCGCTTAGTGCGACACCAACGCCAGGGTGCCCATACCGAAACAGGTGGTTTTCTTAGGGAGCCAAACCTCACATCTCTAGTAGCACTCAAGATCACTGTATTCACTATCAACCTCTTCCTTCAGTCCCTATTACTCCCCCTAGATCGGCTTTCAACACTAAACTTCCTCCTCAAGTGTCATAATGACCAACGATTCTAGTGAGCGAAACAATGTCGTAGGTCTACTGAAACCTCACTCCAGACTACACATTGGAGCCTTTAACGTACGCACCTTGGCTGAGACTCTAGAATCTCGTGTCATTGATGTGTGCTGTGTCTCCGAAACACGCATACAGGATTCCAGTGTGGCTATTCACTTGACCTCACCTCGGCAAAACGGAGAGCCAACGAGATACACCCTCCATGTATCTGGCGACCCGATGGCCAGTTCTCGTGGACTGGCAGGTGTAGGCATAACACTAAGCATGAGGGCCGAACAAGCACTGCTAGAGTGGATCCCCGTCAACAGTCGTCTATGTGCTGTTCGGCTAAACGGCTACGTAAGAACTCAAAAGGATAGGGACACACGTCGTTGCCTTTTTGTCGTTTCTGCCTACGCTCTCACCGACTGCAGCTCAGACGATGTGAAAGATGAATTTTACAGAAAGCTATCTGAACTTCTTCAGAAAGCTAAACGTTCAGACATAGTACTCGTAGCAGGTGACTTTAATGCCCAGATAGGTAGTCTAAACCAAACAGAAAGGCATTTAGGTGGGTATTATAGTATACCGGCACAACGAACAGATAATGGTGATCGTCTGCTGCAACTATGCTCAGACAATCGTTTATTTTTAGCAAACACAAATTTTAAGCATAAGGAAAGACATCGTCTAACATGGTGACCCCCTACACCAAACAAACGATGGACTCGAATAGACCTTATTGCCATCAGTGATCGTTGAAGAGGGTCGGTAGGAGATTGTCGCTCGTTCTGGAATACCTGCGTCGACCCCGATCAAGCTCTAATACGGGCACGTGTCTGCTTGCGCCTCACTGGATGCAAGAAAGCCACACCAAGAAGACCCATCAGGAGTGAATTAAGTAATGAGAAAGCTGGAAATAGATTCCAGGAACAACTGAGGTCCCACTTAGGTAGTTCTGGAAACGAGGTTGAACCAGATGTTTGGAAAGATATACAAACAGCTGTGGAAACAACAGTGACATCCGTTAGTGATTTAAATCAAAGGGTTACAAAGTCTATTGCACTGATGGATTCTCGTAAACTCATCCCATCAGGCTCTGAACAGGATGATGAGCGAAAGCAAAAGAGATGAAAAAAGTGGCGACTATAAATAACAGCAGACAGCTCTTCAGACTCATAAAAGAAACTGGAATTAAAAAGTCAAGTGTAAGTGAAACTATCTCGGAAAAAGACGACACTCTCATCTGCTCCCAGTCCAGACGTTTAGAACGATGGGCGGAACACTTTAAGGATCAGTTCAGTTGGCCTTCAGCTACTCTACAACTACCCACCATTCGCAGACAGCGTGAATGGAATATTGAGGTAGGTTCCCCGACTCTAGCTGAAGTTCAAAAGAATATAGCTAATCTGAAACGAGGAAGAGCAGCTGGACCAGATGGATTGGCCCTAGAGGTCTTTAAATATGGTGCTCCAATTTTAGCGATTAGGTTAACTAATATTTTAGCTAAAATCTGAGAGTTGGACGTTATCCCATCTGACTGGTTTCAGTTACTGATTGTCTCAATACATATGAGAAGGGGGTCAAAATCGTCCTGCGATAACCATAGAGGGATTAGTTTGACTAAAATAGCATCTAAAGTACTAACCTCAATAATTATCGGGCGCCTAACAAAGACTTGTGAACCATGAACGCGAGAAAACCAGACTGACCTCAGATCTGGTCGTCAGGTTCGAGAACACAGGCATGCTTATCGGCATCCGACGATGGTGGTCTTTCTTGACTTAAAAGCAGCATTTGATTCTGTAGACCGAGAGGTTCTGTGGCAATGTCTGTCATTGAAAGGTGTACCTCAGAAGTACGTAGACCTTGTGAAGACTTTACTCGAACACTACTAGTCGAGTCAGAGCTTATGGAGAACTTTCATCTGCTTCCGCAACCTCAAGTGGTGCGCGTCAAGACCTACTAATGGAAATAACATTCTCATCGACTGAATTCTCGAGCACTGATTTCCTACCAGTAGGTGAACTTGTCGACTTAGAATACCCAGTTGATATAGTCCTGTTTGGTGAAGAGGCTGATAAAATGCAGTCTTTTGGTAGCACTAAGCAACAATACCAGAATGTTTAGAATGCGCTTCTTCCCCTCTAAATGCAAGTTGTTGCTTTAAGACTGGTTTGCGTCAACACCTGAACTGAGGATAAGGAGTGAAGTAGTCGAACGCGTTGACTTCACTTATCTTGGAAATGTGATCAGCCTTAATGGGTTGGTGTCTGATGAAATCTCAGCACGGATTCGAAAAGCTCGTTTGGCTTTTGCCAACTTACGTCATGGCGAGGGCGAGATATCCATCTATCACTTAAGGGACGAGTATAATGAGCGGCAGTTTGTTCTGTTCTTCTTTACGGCTGCTAAATGTGTCCATTAAGAGTAGAAGACACTCTTAAGCTACTAATATTTGACCACAGATGCCTTAGAAATATTGCTCGCATCTGCTGGGATCACCGGGTAAGTAATAATGAAGTTAGACTCAGGGTATTAGGAGATGATGGTAAATCAGTCTATGAGGTTGTGAATCTTCATCGACTGAGATGGTTGGACCACGTGTTACGTATGCCTGGACACCGATTACCACGACGCGCAATGCTGAATAGTGTAGGGGGTGGTTGGAAGAAAGTTAGGGGCGGCCAAACAAAAACGTGGCATCAGTGCTTGAAGTCACGAACTTCTATTCTGAGCCATGTTGGTAGATGCAGATTACTTGGTTGGGGTCGGCGTGACTATCGTAACCAATAGTTGGAGACTGGGTGACATGGCTCAGAATCGACCACAGTGGCGTGGGTGTATACACTCTTTATCATCTCTTAAACTATGAGATTAAAGTTATTTCATATTTTTCTTTCTACGGACTAATTCTTTCTTCCTTTACTATATCCTTATATGCAATATTTCCTTTATATATTACGCCATTGAGTTAACTGCTTTTATGAATCCGGTGTTCGTCTTGTTGTGTTAATGAGGTGTGGCAACTTGGACCGATGCATGTATGTGCCTGGTTCTACGTTGTAACTGACTGACTGACTGCATGATTATTATGACCAATAGTTTGAGGCTTGAGGTGACATGGCTCAAAATCGTTTGCAGTGCATATACTTTTTATCCTACCTTAGATACTAAGATTCCAAGTTCCTTGTATATTGTTCTTTATTTTACGAATTTACATTTTCTTCTTGAATTGGATTTCCGATACCTAATTCTTTATATTATTACTAGTACTGTTAACACATTTACTATTCTGGAATTTGTCCTAATAATTTCATCTTGTGCTAATGGTGTAAGGCAACTTGGACCGATGTACACATGTGCCAGGTTCCAAGTTGCGCATGACCGTCCGGTACTAAACCCGGCAAGGTCGATTTACCATTAACTCTGTAAAATAAGGCTGACCAGTGCACTGCACAAGTGTTGTATGTGGGCTCGATGAAGAAGTGGATGTGTAAGCATATTTATTTACAACATTATTAACCATCTGTAAGATTAATAAGTATGGATAACATGAAGCTAACAAGGTATACATCTCTCTCTGGTCTTATATATGTTAGGCCCCCAAATGCCCTGGTACGGCCGAGAGTGGGGAGAGTCCGCTCTCCCTCTCGAAATACTCTCACACGGCCACGCGTATATAGCCTCTGCCAGGGAAGTCCTACTCACTGCCTTCTCGTGGCGGGGGTGTTGTTTACGAAAATGAGAGGACGAAAAGCGAATGTCCGGCGCTTTAACCGGATTCCAAACCAATGGTGCACATGGGCTCCAGTATCCTGCGGGAACAAATGGCGAATGAACCAATTGTTGGTCACCGGCTTCCATGGGACTGTATCTCCTTACGATGCTCCACTGCCTTGTGGATCAGACCTTTGGGTCGAAGGCTCGGGGTGTGGCCCCCTAAGAAAACCACCTGCTTCGGTTTGGGCACCCGGGCAGTATCACAGCCCTCACACATATCGGATGAGATTTGTGTGGCGCATATGTATTTGGTGCCTCTTTGTACCATTATCTATGTGTTGAAATAAATAAATAAACAATATACAAAAGTGGTTGATAAGTGACAAAAAACGTATAAAATCAAAACATGTCAAAACTCTATAAAGAAGCGGACTACCAGCTTGAGTTATTCCAGTTAGTCATGATTAACATGCAGCCTAGAACAAACGTACATCACAAGACGCCATACAAAACCGTCAAATACGGTGTAGGTATGATGGCGAGTATACGTCAGAAAAAATAAAGCCACCATTAGAAATTTTGTCAAACAGGTTTTCTTACTTCACTATGTTATTTTCACTTGATCCTCATTGAAATGAATTAAATATTACAGTAAGGGAACTACCATGTTAAGCTAATTGAAAGATCTACCTTCAACCCAAAAGGCCTGTTTATTCATGTTTTTTCGATAAGCCAGACCCATTGTCACCCAAGTATTGGGTTCTAATGACCCAACAACCAATGAAATTGACGCACCAGAGATAACCCGTAACTCACACCAAGAATAGTCTAGGTAATGGTTTAGTAGAAATCTTTGAAGTCAACCTCGTTAGTACTTGTGAATCATAAACTACAGGATATAAAAAAGTACTTATGACTTTTTCCAGTACTCACTAAGGTTATGGAATCTTTGACCCATGATTGACAAGCAATTATCTACCGTAAAAAAACTTTTTACAAACGAACCGCATGGTTTCAGAAAGGACTGCCATTGAATTAAAAGGTCTGATGGGAGCGATGGATAACTGGACAAGAATAATTGTTGTAGAATATCGTAGTGAGGTTAGATGTTAGGGGTTCTGCTCTGTTAATTTACATGAACGACCCTCTGAAATACTTCCTTTTGCAAATGTAAAACTTTACAAAGAAGTACACACCCAGAAGAGTAAGTTAACTCAAACTCGATTCCAAAGTTAGCGGATCAACCTTTAACTATCAAGTGTAAACTTGTCTATGTGCAGCATGATGCAGAAAACACATACAGTTTGAACAGTTATTGTCATTAGTAAAGATTTATACATATCGACCCGCTATGATGCGAAACTACATGTCAGGTGTAGTGAAATTGCTTTTTGAGTCAACATTATACAACTACGAAATGCATTTTTGACTAGTTTGACGGTAGAAATTCCCATCATCCATTAAGTAAATGTAGAATCGCTTCTACTAATGTAAAGAGGATAAAAACAATGCGTCGAAAACAAGTTCGGAGATTAATCACAAAAGCAGTTCGTGGTCTCAGGTTTATATCCTGCAATGAGCGACTGAAGTCAGACAGTCAGCTACAACATAGGGTCAGGCACATATGTGCATCGGTCCAGATTGCCATACCTCATTAGCACAACAACATGAACACTTGGTTCATAGAAGCAGTTAATTCAGTAGTGGTAATATATAAGATAAAGATGGCATTTAAGGATATAGTAAAGGAAGAGAAAATTAGATCGTAGAAAGAAAGACATGAGGTGATTCTAATCTTATAGTTCAAAGGAAGATAAAGAGTGTATACACCCACGCCACTGTGGTCGATTCTGAGCCATGTCACCCACAGTCTCCAACTATTGGTTACGATAGTCACGCGTACCTCAACCAAGTAGTCTGCATCTACCAACATGGCTCAGAATAGATGTTAGTGACTTTAAGCACTAATTGAAAGAACTGAATCAAAACGGCTCAGGATATAAGCAACTTAAATGTAACTTAATGACTTAGAACCTTAAGGACACTGAAGGTAACCTTTAAAGTTCCCAAATTCAGGACACACGTTCAGTCCCAACAACAAGCTGGGAGCCAAGCATCGGTTTGATTTTAAGCATGCTCGTAACTTACAATTCCCTACTGTTCAAAGTGAGCTAAGTAACTAAGCAGAACATCTGTTATCTCATTAAGGACTATTTAGTAATATTTTTATCTTGGGTTGTATTCATATACTTAAAAGGCATCACTAATCTACTACCACAAAATACGGAAGCATGTCAGGCGAAGTGTTATAAGTGCAGATAGTAAGTATATTAGCTACAAATGAAAGTACTCACTCCATCAGCATGACAGTGATAGAACTTTAAAGATTAACTAGCAGCTTAGCCGCAGGCCGATGGAGTTAAAAGCGACCTTGACGTGAGCCAATCAGCAACTCAAACCCATGTGACCCCGAATTTGAACGGCAATACGTTCGCAATGTTTAAAATGTTCAATGAGTTCGTCCTGTTGCGCACTTTCGGCCACTTTTCCTTTCATCCACTCAATGAGTGTTTGATACTACGCCTGTAGTTTTCAGCGAAGATCATTGGGTCTCCGATTCATTTTTATTCCGGTGACGTTAAAATTTGTCGAGAAATAAAAGAAGATGAAAATGCATGTCCACTTAAGTCTAAGTTAGACGTTCTAGTTAACTATTCCAAAACTGAGTTGATTTCCATCAACATGGCAAGATGTTTCTACACGCATATTGGAGATACAAAGGCAAATGTTTGTAAGAATATAGGGGTGTCGGTGCCTTCAGTCTTGTCTCACAACGATCTAGAATTAACAGGGAACGACGATCCTTAGACCATGGCTCACCTTCTTGTGCTTGCACTTCGAGGGTTTGGAAGCGTTCGAACTTTTAAACGGGTATTTACGAAGTTGGGAACAAGTATGTTCAGTACAGAATACACAATCTTAGATCAAAACTTGAAAATGCGTTCAGGATGAAAGCACCCGTTTACAATACTAAGGCCAGCTACCCGTGTGATGTCAAAATTATGATGGCTACCGGATACAGAGCTACCAGATGAGTTAGATATATTTACTCCGTCCTACCTTCGATTAAGGGGTGGTCCAATTTTGATGTATTAAATACTAAGGAGTGTTTCCGAACCTAACATGTTTAAACGTCAAAAAGAAGCAAGTCATCTGTGGCATACAAGTGTCACAATATGTCATAAACTCTTGAAACTTGTAACAGCCTATCCCGAGTAGTAGTGTCCACAACTTCAACTAACTCATTCATTTGAAAAGGTGGAAACTCACAGGAGCTTACTAAAAGAGTCCTGACACGAAATTTAGCTTTTCTATCCCCAAGCGTCTGCTGGTATTCACCGCATTCTTTTATGCGCAATAAGTGTGACTCACTTTAAGAAGCCTGAAATCTTGTGTTAGCCGCTGTCCTGGGGTGGAACGTACTGAAAAATACCAAAAACGAGTAGCCCTAGTGCCCCGTTTTTTTCTATGTTTGAGACTTCTTAAAGGCTCCTTAGGTTTTATGGTCCAGGGTTGACTGTGTTATACTACTAAGTTAGTCAGCCAAGCAGCATGATTATCTTTGTATTGTCCTTGATGGTAAGATTTCTAACTCCGAAATATTATTTACTTAAGTGGCTTTGGGTTCGATTGTTTTTTTCATGTCCTTATCATCAGTGAGTAAACCCTAACATAGTATTTTGATTTCATTGCTGTCACTGAGATTTTCTCGGCGCTTACAAGCTAACGACTTACTTAATGTCAAAAGTTGTAGGTGATCACACCAATATCAGAAAACGAAACTACTAGACGATACACGGTTAACGAACTTGCCAAAATAGTATCATGTTGTCTATTACTTATTTGTATGTTTTATTATGCTTTCGAAATCTAGTAAGTCGCGTATCCTAATTTTTAGGTTTGGTTTCGTTATTCTGTAACCCAACACCTCATTTCTGGAACAAGCTTTATATTCAGTATATTATATATTTTACCTAATGGTTAGTTCTCCACATATCACCTGTTGTTTATCGGTTTCTTTCTAGACTTACCACAAATTTTTGGTCACGACCAAAATTGACAAATGCCTCCGAGTAAATAAGAGAATTCAGATACGTCATTTTGAAGTTTGATGAATCTGGACGACATCTATCGCACTTGTCCAACACACTGATTCTAAACCTAGGTGTTCTATCCTGTCATACCGATCAGTGCCTCTTCCTTATTTTATTGGTCATGGCGGTAGCTGTATTACCTGAGTCTCTGACTGCGAATTCGCGAATGGTTCATCTGTGACATCCTACTTAAAAACAAAACGAGGGATGACCCTGGTTATTCCAAATTAACAGAGTCCCTCGATATTAATAACTATTCTTGGTTTCTCTCCTCACACTATGCTGAAAAGTTATTACAATGTGACAGTCCTATTCAGTCGACGTCATGAGTTTTATAAAGTATGTTCTATGCTGCCACTCATAATGAAAAATTAGGCATGTGGGCTATGTTCACAGACTAAGAATACATGGACCACTGAGTTCATAACAATATATCCCAAGAATTAGTGAAGCTATCTTTATTTATATGACCTGATGGACTAAAAAGGAATTTTAATTTTCAATAGTTGAGATCGTGAGTCAATTGAAGCTACTATTGAAATCACTACAATCTTCACAAAACCCCTTCTGATACTAATCAACATATGTTCACTAGTGAATGGATTCAAAAGGTATTTCCTGCAGTTCTAGTGAGAAGCCGTCACTAGTGGAGTTCAACCGGGTCTGTTGTGAGATAGTAACTCACTGATGACAATGGTGGATGTGTCGCTCAATTTTGTGGGTCAGTTGAAGTTAGACATTAACATAGTTGGATGCCGGCTCAGTGGTCTGGAGGTTATGCGTTCGTGTACGAGGATGATAGGTCCTAGATTTGAATCCCGCGGGACAGGATCGTGGATGCTCACTGCTGACGAGTCCTACGGTAGGACGAAACTGCCGTCCAGCGCATTCAGGTTTTCCATGATGGTTTAACTTCAACTGACTCATGATCTCAACTACTAAAATTCTAATTTTGTGCATATTGTTAAATGGGATTCTAAAAGGGATATTAAAACTTTTCAAAGTGTGTGCTGTAAGATATGAGTTTAAGGTATTATTTCACGTATTTTGGTGAGAATATATCCCATTCGTAATCCTGTTACAGTGAAATTTTGGGACGCAAAGTGTGGAAAACGGAGTGCATCGTGGACTTCCCTACTGCAAACATTCCTCACATTCTGACTGTTGCACATGATTTTGAGTAGGATTAGATTTAAACTCGACTGTCGCTGAGCTGTCGATGGTAAGAAGTCCAACGTCATAATTTATAAGTGCGGATATCACCACATTTATAAACTGGAGGCAAATAAATTTAGTCAAACGACTGCTATTCTAGTTCCATGTATATTCATCCGTATATTTTAGTTCACTTCGAACTTATACCTCAGCCTCATTCAACCAAAACCTTCAACTCCTCAATATTGAAAGCTGAGGCTCTAAACAAACGAATGGTGGTGTGTTTGCATTAGTGGATCATTCACTAGCTCTTCGCTATGCAACTGTAAAAAGACCCAAAGCTTTGCAGACCTAGGTTTGGGATGTTCAGATGATCTATACTTTCATAAATATGTAACCCAAATATGTAGGTGGGGGTGAATATTGAGGTGAATAATTCAAAACATACAGCTCGGTGTTGCATCTGGTTACGTATCTAGTTGTCATTGCTAAAAGACTGAATCGTTAGATAACTGGCTAATTACACAAACATATTTTGAGCGGTCAAGAATGGTGAAGATATTGGATAAATAGCTAGTTTGAACCACACGATATAGTAATGAGACAATCTCAAATTAGTTGTAGCACTGGAATTATTGGTTTACAGAGATTTTGGTGGAGGTTCGTTTTCGAGAGAAAAAATAGGTATTCTGTTTCTAAAGATTGTTTCCTTCCAGGCAGATCACGCAGTTTAATCCTGTCTACTTCCTGAATTTTCTAATCTATGTCGATGTAAGTCATCTATTCGATGATCATATGCTTCTTGTATTTTTCCAAGATGTTGGAACGGGCAGGCAAATGAATTCTGTCTGAAGCCGAAAACCCGTTTAATAGTGGGCATTTAATGGGATGGCTAAGGGATTACTTAGTAAGAAGATGAGAGACTGTCGGATTCTGCTCGGAGTCGTTTGTCCGGTTTATTGGGAAGAGCTGAGTATCATGAGGTTCCATCCCTGTTGCGCTCCTCTCGTTAGTTTTTAAAGATTTCCATAATACCTCATTATATCAAATCTTGCTATATGAAGAAGATCTTAATATGCGAAGAAAGATAGTGTTATATGGAAATCCTGACCATTGATTTGTCGTGATTAAAATAAAAGAATTAACGAACGAATTAAAGAAACTCTCAAAGTGACCTCAAAAAATCCCTGAATATAATCAATCATTCAATAGGCAACAAATATAAAGGGCTACACAAAATATATTATTTTGACATGAATGATGAATTTTTTTAGTGTTGTGTAGTTTTTTATTCACTAGAGGTTAATGTTAAAAGTAAGTTTTAACCCACATATGCCCCAATATGTTTGGTCGTGACTCGACAGACGAAGTGAATTTAGAAGCTCTGGTGATAATTACGGAAATGTCAAATTCAAACAACTGTGTGTGCAGTTCGATACGCAATATCAGAGCAAAATAAACATAAAATGTTTGTCTATCAGTTAAGTTCAATTAGTTTTCTTTCTTCTATTTGAAGGATCAGTTTTGAATTCATATCTGTATACGTTCCTAATATATCTTTGTCTGTATGTGCTTGTTTAATAATCTCATTTTGACAGCTCTCTAGTCTTTGAGATCATGAACCAATCAACGTCAAACCATCACCAAGAATCTGGAAGCACTAAACGTCCGTTTCTTCCTAGTATAGGGCTGATCAGTAGTGCCCATCCACAACCTCGCATGTTGAAGTCGAACCAAACACCTTCGGTCTCACACTTGAACTTCTAACATCCAGACCACTGAACCATCATTCAACGGCGTTAGTACCAGCTTGAACCAGTCTATAATAATGCACGGCTAATAAGTACAGTGGAGTTCATATTTGATCTGCATAATACTGTACCTGACTATTACAAGTTTATTACAACTGCTAGTCACTTCAGTAAAAGTGTAATTCCAATTTCAGTAAAATAACGGAAAGGTCCAATTCTGGTGTTAATTCAATACTGTCTTTACTTCAATCCAATTTGATGTTCACTCATCCCTGTACTACTGTACTATGTTTAATAAAGTAATCGTCTAATGATGAAGTAAGGACTCATAAAAGTGGGATTTTAATGCCAGGTTGCAATCGTACTACCATTGTTTAAAGTTCGAAAACGTAAATTCTGAAAAAGTGAGTCGTGAAA